ACAGACTGAAGATGTTGGTTCTGCTACACAGGGTGTTCGTAATGTTATTTTCCTGATATCATTCCTGATGAGCTATCAAGCACTAATTGAACCTAGGAGTACTCTACCGTCAAGCTACATCTCCATCCCTTCTTAATATGTATGTATATTTTTTTGAAACAGGGTCTTGCTAAGTGCCCAGGTTGACTTCAACTTGTGGTCCTCCTGCCTCAGCCTCCTGAGTCACTGGGATTACAGGCATGAGATACCAAATTAGTGTACTACTGACTAGCCTGAGTGGGAATTCTAGGGGATATCTTTAGAACTCTATCTATGATAAAGCATGAGACCTATATAGTGAAAATGAGAAAAATTTTGGAGAACATATAAAGACACTTGAACAAATGTAGACATATCATATTTCAGAAAAGTAAGGTTCATGCGGAATGGTATTAATCTTCCTGAAATTAACATACAGGAAGAAATTTTAATAAAAATACAAATGGGTTTTTTGGGAGGAGGTTCTTGAAAATTGATTCCAAAGGCAAGAAAAATAAATGGGTAAAAATAATGACAACTGACCAGAAAAAAGAAAGCATATTCCCAACTCATTTATGAAATTAACTAGCATAATTAAACTATGTTGTTTAAGGCAGAATAATTAGGCAGTAATACTATAAAGAAAAGTAAGCAAGCAAATATGATAATCATGATAGTGGCTATCTCTAGGCATTTGAGAGTTGTAAGGGAGGAGGCACACTGGAGTTTTGGCGTGTTGATAATGTTCTACTTATTGACTCAGTTGGGTTATTATAGTGTCCAATAGTACACTTCTGTCTTATGAACTTTTCTGTTTGTCAACACAAAAAAATAATTCTAATCTTCTTTCTTCATACTTCTCATTCTTCCCCTAGTCAGATGAATCTACAATGCCTCACACAGACATACAGTCATTACAACAAGACTATGAAGAGCAACTGAAGGGGTCCAGAGTAAGTCACTCTGGCATAAAATATTGTGTTGACAGTGTTTGAGTTCCTGAAATCCCTTATCTGCCTAAAAGCAAAGTCTCCTAAAAGAACTCAATTGTCATAAATCCCCTCCTGGAAGCAGCTCTAATATTCTCAGAGAGAAATTGGTATCATGCCCAGACATTGTTACAAAACTATCATATCTTCCATCTTTTCTCCTAATGGCCCATTTATCATTCCAAAAAGCCATTTGTTTTTCCATATGTTCCCTTTCTCTTCCTCCCCTCTTTTGAAGAAGTTATTTTCCCAGAAGTGCCTCCTGTGCCCCTCATAAGCCCCAATTCTAACCACCTCTTTTGTGTCACATTTCTTTGTGAATTCCTATGTGTGTGCATATCTAATTAGGTTTTTTTGTTGTTGTTGTTGTTAGTCTTTTGTCAGTTTAATTTTGCAGATCCCTAAAGAAAGAACCTAAGAGAATATAGGAAAAAAAATTCTCCCTGATAGAGCTCAGACTCTAAAAAGGAGGTTCTTAAGAATAAAAAAGCCTTGTCAAGATGAAACAGCATTTGATCCCATTTTCCTTCCAGCCCTCACCAGTGAGAAGGGTTGAAAAACACTTGAATTAAGGACAGTGGAAATATAAGGTGTTGGAGCATAATACTGAATAAAATTCTGGAGCTAAGGTGGGAACGATGGGCCTTAATGGACTGAAGGAAAAATGAGAGTACCTGAGTGGTTGAGTGTAATTTCAGTGATCAAGGCATAAGGGTTGGGCTAAGAGCCAGGAAAGCTTTTATCAATTCAGGGTTGCCTGCTGCCCAAATACAGTACATACCTAGAAAAGGACACCTACTTTTTTTTTTTCTAGCTGCCTGTTGTGGAGGGCCTAGGACACCTCTGTTAAAGATGAAGAGTAAAAATGATACCATCTTTCTTTCTTCATTCCTCCTAACCCTTCTAGCCCTAGAGATTTTAGTCTACAGGGCCTAATGTTACCACTGTTTACTGGTGACGAGTCCTTGCTTCCCCAATGCTGAAGCATAACACCAGAGAAGCACGCTGAGGCAAGTTTAGAGTGGAAAGTAGAAGCTTTATTAAGGACAGAGAAAAGACTTCTCCCGGGAGGAAGAAGGGGACCCAGAGGTGGAATCCGTGGAAGAGGGGAGGTCTTCCTTTTTTTTATAGCTAAGGTCAACTTTCAGTTTTCCTGCATTTCTGTCAGCCTTCCTGTCCTTTGTTCTGTTATCTTGCAGTGATAGAATGTAGGTGGGGAGACCCACAAGGTGAGGGGCAGATGGGCCTGAGGAATAATCTGGGCAGGAAGGGCTTGGGGCCACTTTTTATTAGCATCTCCAGGTTTGCTGGGAACTGCTCCATTAACATTTCTTTAGAATGGGCTTTGGGCCTTGGGAACATTGTTTCAATTTCCCCAAGTGCTGCTCTGCTTTCCCAGGCTTCATTCTCAACAAGGCCTTCATTTTCAATTTTACTCGATATTAGACCCGATTTACCTAACTACACTAACTACCTATCTTTAAATCTGGCTTCACTAAGAGTCTATATTTCCATAAGCATCTTGGTGACTCTCTTTTGTCATTAGCTTCTGGCACTGGAATGCCACTGCCAAGAGAAACTTGACAATAAGAAGAATCACTAGTGGCACTAGTTAAAAATACAAATTTCTAGGTCTCACATCTAACCCCTCTAACCAGATCAGTGAGTGCCCTACCTGTGAGCTCTCCTAACACCCAATTCGAATTTGTTGAATTAGACCACTTAGTTTTCCATTGGCCAGAGCAATTGTTTTCTCTTTCAAACTATTCTCTGATGTTCTTTGGATTTCACTTCTTTATTCTAGAACAATTTTAGGCTTAGTAGGGGATAATTCTTAACATTTAGACTCTGCTAAAGCAGCACATTCATTGGTTTTCCCACACCCACCTCCAGCTGCTGTTGTCTTATTTTTGAGTACCTTGAACTTTAGGCTCTACCATAGCATTTATTTACTGTGTAATATTTTTAAGGGTTCTCCCACTGTGTCTGATACTTTTAAGACAGCATTTTGTGTTTCTTTAGCAATTAACTCAGGGACTTGTCTATGAATTTTTGGAATCACCCTGCAACCTGTAGTACAGTCATATGGTTCATATGTTGATTTCTCTGCCTGCAATTAATGTTTTTTCCTCAGTATTTATTTGGCAAACTCCTCTCTCCTTTGCATGTGTGATGCTGGAGATGGAATTTAGGGCCTTGTGTATCCTAGGCAAGTGCTCTAACCACTGATATATATATTCTTAGCCCAAATTCTTATCTGTTGATATAGAGGAGGCAGTAGTATAGTGTTACCTTTAACAATGTACATAAACTTTCTACTTTTCAGTTTCCTTATTTGAAAAATGATACTTACCTTAAGAGTTGATTGGGAAGATCAAGAAAGCCAATATTTCTCTCTTATCCCTGGACAGGCTAAATTTCTTCTCTCCTGAGAGCAGTTCATTAGGGAATTTTGCCTCAGGATTAGATTTTTGCATCCAACTAGCTCTTCTCTACCTAGTCTTTCCATCCCTCCATTCCCTTTACAATAGACATTAATGGCTCAATTAAAACTAGAGGACAAAAACACTAGCAAGTGTAAAAACTATCCTTCACAGTTCTCAGGAAAGGAGATAGTCCTATGGTGAGAGATAACTACAGAACAGCGCAGGGTTTTCACCTTTGAAATCACAAAGAAAAACAAAATGGTTAAATTTCCACATCAAAATAGGTGAAATGTCTGTAACTTATTTTCTACATTTCTAAAGTGACCTGGTCTACATACTAAATTTTTGTTCTCTGAATCCTTCCAAATTCAGAGCAATGGCTAAAGATCTTAGTGTTGAGGGCAAACAACTCCTGTGAATCACATAGTAGCTTCCAGTATAATTAATTATTACTAACTAGATACACTGTTAAGTTTTTCTTATTAACTCTTTTGTTGTCAGAGTTTAAGTGCAGACTATTTAAACGAGTATGCTGTTTGAAAATCATAGAAACTTTATTTTATAATATATATAACTAAAGTAGGGAAAAAACATGAAAAATGTTTGCACACAGGGTAAAACGTCATAGGGGTGAAACATGGTAATAGCTTTTGCTTAAGAATCCCTACCCTTCTCCACATTACCATAAGCATATCTCTGGATCCTCCCCCTCCCCTCCCCCATTCAAGTACCATTTGTTATCAAGACTTGTCTTTCCCAGTTAGCAGGATGCAGGACACTTTTTATGCATCAATGTTTAAAATCTCAAATACAGTTTTAAAATCTTAAAACTCTTACCCTAGAACAGTCTCTAGAGGCCTTATATTAGGGCTTCTAGAGACTGTTCTAGGCTAAGAGTTTTAAGATGAAAAACTCAGCTTTGTTGTTACCCACAGGTTTGAAATTGCCACCTCACACCTGTGAGGTCAGCATCATCAAATAACCCTTTTTGACGTCCAAGAGTGACAAAAGCCTCAAGCAGTCCTGGGATCTAAAAGGTGCAATTTCTCCACTTGCTCGTTTGGGAACTGGCTTCTTTAAAGCTGCGCAGGGTTAACTTGCTCTGCTGCCGGTTGGACGGCAGCTGATCCGGGATTCTTTAGGGCCAGACTTTCCCGACGCACCCATCTCCACTCCTCTTTGTCCTCCCCATTCTTGTCTCACGCAGCTGTCTGGACCACAAATAACCACTCTCATGATTTTGTTTCTCCAGCGAGATTCGGCAGAACATGCTATAAAAAAAAAAAAAAAGAGGCAGAGGAAACTTAGAAAATAACTGAATTGGTAAGAGTCATAATAAATGGCAGTACATCCCTAAGAAGTGATGACGAGCAGCCAGAGGCCACAGAGGCCACAGGGCATGGTGTCGCAAGGCCAAACGCCCGGCCCCTCCGCCCCAACCGCCCGCCCCGGCCTTGTCACGTGACGGGGAGCGCCGCGCGGCGGCTGCGGCGCCGATTGGCTGTCGGCGGGAGCGCGGGGTTTGATGGGAAGGAATTGGCCGGGCCCAGTGCTCTGTCAGTGGCGGCTGCCTGCTCCGGAGGCTGGCTGCGCGGTGGCGGCCGAGGCTGGCAGGGGTGGACCCCGAGGCCGGGCTGTGCTCGCTTCACGCAGGTAGAGCCTCAGGATGAGGGCAGTTGGGAGGGCTCCGCAATAGGGAAGCGCGCTGGTAGTTTCCCCGGAAAAAGCTCAGGATTCTCCTGCTTGCTTTCCCAGGTGTCCCCGCCCCATGCCCAGTGGCCTAAGAGCTCTGCGGCTGTGGCTCTTCTCCCGCTATGGTTCGCGCCTACCCAGTGTAGTCCCCTCACCCCCTTTGATTTCCCAGTACAGTGGCAGGGGTACCCCGGGAGTTCTCGAGACCGGGTTCTGATCAGGGTGGTTTCTCTAGCTCTATTTTCGGAGATCCCAGATAGTGACCGACTTGAGCCGCAGCTTTTGGCCCACCTGTATTGAGAAGAGCCCAAAGCTCCTCAAACTAGCTCACCCTACGCTAAACTATCTACTTTGAGTGTTCTAAACCACCTTTTCTTTCCCTTGAGTTGTACAGAGGCCCCACGAGTTGGAGAGATTGGAAGGGATTGAAAACTGTCAGTGTCATGCTGCTTAGCTCGCATGTGGGCGTGGATTATGTGCTACTTAAGAGAAGTGGCTCTACAAACCTTTGTCATTGTTTGAGGGACCGCGGCCGGGTCGAGGGGTGGAGGGGAAGGACGAAGAAGCGTAGGTGTCTTAGGTGTAGTAGAAGGAGAAATCAAATTTAAACCACATTAATAGGTTAAAATCTTCAACGCCGTGTTTGCAAATTGAGGGAGGCGGTGTGTGTGTGTGTGTGTGTGTGTGTGTGTGTGTGTGTGTAGGTTTGGTGAACTCAGGGGGAAGGGAGGGAGGCTTGGTGAGCTCATGGTGTTCTTACAGTGCTAAGTAAGACCTGTGACTCATTGAGTTTTCCATGTTCTGCTTTACTCTATTGACTTCTGGTTTGTGGTGCTTAGAGTCTGTTTTCTCCTTTTTCTGTGGCCTGGGGTTCACCCTTGACAAAACTGACTCTGTTAAAACAGCGGTGTGGTGGATGAGAGTAGGCTTAGTATCAGGCATATATTCAAACTGGCAGGGAACCCTAATCCCTTGTCCTTAGCCGTCCCCATAGTGCCTTCTTAGGAGAACCAAATTGAATTCGAATACATTTTGTTAAACAAGATTGATGCATTGAAAGTTAGAATTTTAAAGTTTTCTCTCATCTATTGAAATCAGTTCAGTAATGCTATTCATCAACTTAAGTGTTTATTATTAATTTGAAGGACTGTAAGGAAAGGGAGAAGTTATATGGCTATCAAGAAGGTATGTTTTCATATATAAATATCTCTAATAGAATTTTTTGGTAGTATTTAGTTCACAATGAAATTTACTTACTATAAAAGCAAACACTTAATAACCATATATTAAAAGTGCTTTCAGAGGTATGCTGCTTTTTATAAATTTTTTTTGGGGGGATGATAAATGTGGTGTTTTGGAATATTTCAGAATTATGTTTTCTGTTAGGACATTTGAAAGTTAGAGTTTTAGAACAAATCATCATTAACCTTTTTTTTGTGTGTGTTTTTTTGGTCTTTTTAAAATTTGTTCTTTTTAGATACACATGACAGTAGAGTGTATTTTGACATATTATACATACAAACCACTAATCTTAAATTGTATGTAAGATGTTATGAAAATGCTTTTGAGAGTGTCTATATAGTTTATATTGAAGTCTGGAACTTGCTTAATCAAACATAAAACTAGATTTTCCTTGAAATTTCCTCCAAAGTTCTACAAGATTATTTTAATGAAAGTGTTTGTGGAATATTTTGCTTGAGTTTTTCATATTAGATTAATGAGAACAATACAATGTCAGTAAACATACAAATTAATTTTATTTTTCAATTATTAAATAGGTGCTTTTTAAAATAAAAAGTTAGAAGGAAATGTGTTCCATTTCAGTATCACATGTATTTTCTGGTGATAGCAATAATAACTAAAATTTATTATGTATTTACTAAATGTTAGACACTGTGCCAAGTGATAAATAATTTCATGTAATCTATATATTAATTCTATGAAGTGTTGATATTTTCACCATTTTACGAACTGAGAGTTAAAGAGTTTAAGTAATTTGCCCCAGATCAATTAGCTAGTATGTAGGTGAGCCGAATTTTGAGTATAGATTTATTTTACTGTATTGTTTTAATGTGATTGGAAGTGAACTGAAAATTTGAAGAAAAATGTTTTTTAAGATTTTAAATAATGACACCCAAACCTGAGTGCGAATAGCAGTTAATTGAAAACATTCAATTAATGTTGTGGACATTGTTGTTCATTGAAAAAACACATTTAGATGCATCTAGCTTTGTGGTCATGTCAGGTTCTGAATGGAAAGAAACTCTGTACATGTTCATCAAGAGTTCTTGGGGACAAGCTACTTGAGGTTGAGCCATTTGTCCACTTGAGAGCAAGGATATTGATTTATGTTTCAGAAGGAAAAGCTAGGTCTTATTTGGTTTCCATGTATTTTCCAGTTATTTGAAAGAAAGCAGAGACAGATCAGAAAATAGCAATAACCACAGCAGTAAAAACAATTTATACTGAGTTATGACTATGTGTCAGGCACTATTGTAAATAGTTTAGGATATATTATGTTATTTAAACCTTTCACTGTTTAAGAGGATTATTTTTAACTATCCTTCTTTTGCAGATGAGAAAAATTGAGTAACAGAGAGGTTAAATAATTTATTTGCCTATTGTTTCATAGTAAAGATGGGCCATTGGAGTTAGAATTAAGATGTGTGGAATGGAGAGAACCAGTAGATGAAAATAGAAGGATGAAATTAGAGCTAGATAAAATATTTAATTATTTAATGTTGATACACCTTTATGTCTGTTAGAAAGTACCACCACATGTACATTATAGTAAATCAACTTCTTTAACTAATACCAATATTTGATAGAAACATTGCTGGAACAATGAGGGCTGATTGTTTTTTGATTATGATTGTGAAAGCATGGAAATGGCATTTAATCACTCATCCTAATGTTTTTTTTTTTTATTAGTTGTTCACAACATTACAAAGCTCTTGACATATCATATTTCATACATTAGATTGAAGTGGGTTATGAACTCCCAATTTTACCCCAAATGCAGATTGCAGAATCACGTCGGTTACACATTCACAATTTTACGTAATGCCCAATTAGTAATTGTTGTATTCTGCTACCTTTCCTATCCCCTACTACCTAATGTTGTTTTAATGTTCAAATTTAAAAGCACAATCCCTTGCTTCAGGAATCTTTGGAGCTAAGCCATAGTTTGTTTTATTAACACCAAAACAATTCTCCTTGAAAATAACTGATATCAAAATTGGTATTAATTATGATATTATGCATACACTTCAAATTATAGTCATTTAAAAAGTGATATGCAGTGCAGTGAAAGCTATATTTTCAGACTTTATAGTACCAGTTCTGTTTGTAGCTGGAGCTATGTGACTTTGGTAAGTTATTTAGCTTCTCTTTAGTGCAGACAGATCTGCAGTAAAGCATTCAAATTTAATCAAATAAAGGAATTGGACTGCACGAACAGTGTTCTAACAGGATCTCTTGTGTTTATAAGTTACTTTTCACATCAGTAGTTCTCTTTACCAACCATTTGAGAATGAATGTTAGAGGTGCTCTCATATTTTATAGATAAATTAATCTATATAAAGCTGCCTTGGTTTCTGAGTTTGTGTTGTTGGGAATAACTGATGACCTTTTTAAAAATTCAAAACTACAATGCTATGTCTGACCCTGCTACTTAATGTCTTTAAGATGCTACTGTATTCACTTCTTTTTTCTTGGGCTCTTCATTTATAAATGAAGGGATAGTAATAACTAAATGATAGAATTTATATAAAGCATATTACATGTGGTTTGTGTATTAAAAATGCTAGAGACAAAATTCTGATGAAGTGATATTGATGTTATTAATTTCAAATATTAAAAATTTGTCTCAGGGTATGATGGCTGTAAACTTGAACTGGAGGAATACAATTCTCTTAGAAACCAAAATATATAGATCAAGTGTGTACAAAATACTGTGCTAGATACCATATATAGTTCTAAAATAGTGGGATGATATATACTTTGAAACTACCTAGTTAAGTGGTTTGTCTGAATCTCCATTCTTTTATCTTTCTTAGTGATTATTTTTAACATCTTAAGAAGGTTGTGAGATTTATTTAATGTTTTGACTCAGAAAGTAAAACTTTTCTTTTAAGTTTCTGGATTTTCCATGAGCACATTTTAGAAATTTGAATATTGAGCTAATATTGAAGAATTAATAATAACTTGAATGTTTAATGTGGATTGTAATAGTCATTATAATCTTCAGAGTTTTTCAAGATATATTATAGTTTTTTTTTGGTTTACCAGGGATTGAACCCAGGGGTGCTTAGCCACTGAGCCACATACCCAATTCTTTTTTTTATTTTGATACAAGAGTCTTGCTAAATTGCTAAATGGCTGAGGCTGGTTTAGCCTTCCAAACTTTTCTGGGATTTCCAGTATTTACCACCTTGCCCAGCAGATGACAGGTATTTTGTACTTAAAAATCAGTTCATAAATGAGCATATTTTATATTTGGGCTCTTTGTAACTTTTCTGAGAAACTCTTAAGATAGGTATGTCCTAGGCTAGTTCCAATATATAAACAGTGCTGTAATTCTTACTTGATATTGATATTATTTTGTGATTATGTTTTATGGTTAAGAAGTATATTTTCAGTAAGTGTGTGTGTGTGTGTGTGTGTGTGTGTGTGTGTGTAGATATATTAGTTTCACATATTGGCAAGAATATACCTCTAACCTGGTAACAATTTGTCAGTTAGAAAGTAGATTTACCATTTATACCAAAAAGAATAAAAATTTATGTAATTATGGAATGGTAAATTGACTTAGAATATAATATAGCTGAATCTTCCAAAAGATTTGAGAGTCATGGAAAAGTAAAAGGGGATATACAGCTAGCTGACAGGAAGGTCAACTAGATTGAGGAACTTACTTAAATTTCAGACAGAAATGTTTATTTGGGGTGTTGAACAGTAGTGTTTAGTAGTAGGGACCAAAAATTTGAAGATAGAGGGACTTTAGGCCATGTTTCTTCTGTTGTTGGGTGAATCACTAAACTATAAGGTGATACTACTAAAGGTTATCATGTGAGAAAATGTTGATATTATGAACTACAGTTTACAGAAAAAAATTAGTCAACATCATTAAATGATCTGTTCAAGGTCACAGGTAGCATTGTAACCCTTAGTTTCTTATTCAAAATCCAGTTAACTTGAGCTAGACATGGTGGTACAGGCCTCAGTGACTTGGGAGGATGAGGCAAGACCATGGCAAGTTTGAGGCTGTGAGGTTCTGTCTCAAGATAAGAACATAAATAAATAAAATAAGTAAAAAGCGTGGAGGACGTAGCTTAGTGGTAGAGTGCCCCTGGGTTAGGTTCCTAGTACTGAAATGAAACAAAACAACACAAAAACCCCCACTGCCAAATGCCAATGTCTCGGCTTGGCACAGAATCACGAGCCACCACACAGCTTTGTAGGTTCAAACAGCAATTCTTTATTCCCGATCTCACACCAGCCTCCACACACGTTCAGGGGCAATTCTCAATCTCCCGCACAATTCACGTCCTAAATACTTTCTCTCCACTAGAACTCAGCAGGAACTCAGGCAGCAGGCAAGCCCTACTCCCAGAAGGAATAATCTTCAACCTCCAACTTCCCTAAAACTCCTATTGTCATGCCCTAAACCCAAGGACGGGGATACATCCTGCAGGATACACCCTAATCCTGGATCCATCCTGGTCATTGAGCAGGGTCACCTTTCTCAAACACACAAGCAAGCAGCAAGTTTCCAAGGCAAGTCCATTTAACATGGGGTACGCTGGCAAGGATTACAATGCGTCATTCCTACTTGGCAATGGCTCTCAGCACCCCACTACTCTGCTTTCTGTAATTATTTGTAAAGTGATGTTATTCCGAACATTATAAAACTCCTGGAATTCCAAATAACTACCTTAGTTGATTGATTGATAGAAATGGTTTTACTTAAGTATAGAGAATGCAAGTAATATAGTAAAACTTTCTTTTTTTAAAGAGTGAGAGAGTGAGAGAGAGAGAGAGAGAGAGAGAATTTTTAAATATTTATTTATTTTTTGGCGGACACAACATCTTTGTTTGTATGTGGTGCTGAGGATCGAACCCGGGCCGCACACATGCCAGGCGAGCGCGCTACCGCTTGAGCCACATCCCCAGCCCTAGTAAAACTTTCATTGCAAGAACAACAGAAGGAACCTGCTTTAAAGAAGAGAAAATCACAAAGATTTGAGTATACTCCTAACATGCTTTGTCATTTAAAAAGCCTTTCTAGTTCTATTTTTTTGGGGGGGAAGGGTACTGGGGGTGGAACTCATGCTCCACCACTGAGCCATTTTTGCAGCTCTATTTTGAGTTTTATTTAGAGACAGGGTCTCACTGAGTTGCTTAGCACCTTGCTTTTTGCTGAGGCTGGCTTTGAACTTGCAATCCTCCTGTCTCAGGCTCCTGGACTACATGTGCAACTGCCTTCCTCTATCTCTATTTTTATCTTTAAATATGTCCTCACTTTTGAAGGATTTTAAAAAGGTGAACTTTATCCCAATGACTATCTGAATTCAAGTTCCATGTAAGTGGAAGCCAAAAAAATTATTTTATAGTATTTTTAGGTAGTATTTCAATATCTAAATTTTATAGTGGGTATGCTGTTTAACTTAAATTTCTAAAATACATGCTTTATTTATAGCTGTGACTTCCTTTGGACAACTGATGATATTTATCATTGTGCCAAGTTTCTACAAATAAAAGATGGGTGGATTATTTTCTAGATGGAGGGTAAGTTGCTTTTCTTTACTGCTAGTTCTTAAGTCTAACATAAATGTTACATAAAGCTACTTTAAAAGTCTTCTTTGTGATATAGCCTTCAGTTTGATATTATCTATTCAATTTTCATTTTAACTCTTGTTTTTTATTTTCTGAATTACTTTTTAATTTGCATTTATACTTCTATAGGTGTTTAATGTCTCTAACAGAATTATTTCATTTTGACTTTTGAATTTATTTCTGTATTGTATGCAGATGTTTTTCTTTTCTTGTTTATTTTCTCTACTGCCAAAATTTATAATTTATTTCAAAGGTAGTTGAAATGAAGTATTCTATACTACACTTACTTTTTTTTATAGACCATATCTTTTTACTTAAAGCTTGTTACAAATATTTATTGAAATCACACTTTTAGGAATTATAGGTTAAACAAAATTAGAAATGCAGTTTGATTTTATTGGGTAAGCCTTTAGAAGGATGTATTTCAATTTTAGAGCTAGAAAATATAAGTTATTGAAAAATGCTTTTCTCTAACTGAAAAGAATTAACTACTTCTTGACTTATAATATGCAATACTTGGTACATAATTTAATTTTTGACTATTGCTGGAACAATACATGTTTTAGATTGGTGTTAGCTGATCTTCCTTTTTTTGCCTTTGTTTTTTCAACTGACATATGTTTTGAAGTAGATACATATTGTGGAATGGTTAAATATAGCTAATTAACATATGCATTGTCTCACACACTGTTATCTTTTTTTGTGTGTGTGTGATGAGAACACTTAATCTCCATCCTCTTAGCATTTTTTTCTAGAGTATCTCATCATTAGCTATAGTCACTATCTGATCTCCTGAACTTATTCTTCTCAGCTCTTAATTTTTTTGTAATTTTGTATTCTTTCACTCCCACAACCAAATTCTCCAAACCTTCCCCCCACCAATTTCTCTAGCCTCTAGAAACTATCATTCTGCTCTCTACTTCTATGAAGTCAACTTTTTTGATTTCAAATATGAATGAGATGACCCCCTTCTTTAAAATCTTATGACAGTTCTGCCTGAAGATCAGATTTATTCTTTGTTTTTCTTATTAGGTTGAACCATATGAAATTGCTAATCTTCTACTACTTTGGCTTATACAAAATGGCTATTTCATTTGATTCAACCTAATGTTAACAAATCTGATAGGGACTACAATGAGTTTGAAACACTGTGTTTTCTTCAATTGTCTGGTATGTAATTGGTAAATATTTTCTCAACTATTGTATGAACCATTTTGTCTTGCTTTTATTCTATGTATTATAAACATATCTTTGTTAAATAAGCTCTGCTGTAATGAAGTTATTCTTATATGTCCTTCAAAAATTTGATCTTTCAAAAAAAGTATATACTTAGGAATCAGAATGAAGGTAACCTATTGATTTTCACCTCCAGAGTACTAAGTGAACTTTTAGCAATAGAGAATCAGACTGTCCTTAATTATATATATATATATATATATATATATATATATATATATATATTTTTTTTTTTTTTTTTTTTTGGCGGTACTGGATTGACACAGATTCTCTCTCAGGCTAGGCAAGTTCTCTATTGTTGAGCTGCAACCCCAACTCAGTCTGTAACTTTTTAGATACGTGAATGCTTTTAAATAATCATTATGTAAGAAAATTTTTCTCAGATGCAAATATGTTTTCCTGTAAAAGTATGTTTTGTTGAGTTAAGAATGGTAAAATTTGAGCTATCAGAGTTGAAAGTCCTGGACTGAAAAGAAGTAAAAAAATGCTTGTGTTTGAAATCTTAAAGTTCTATTTGTAATTATAATTTTCACTTAAATGAATCTCTAGAGTAAATAGAAATACATATAGCTTGACAAGATTTGAGAAAACCTCATTTTGAATTAGAATATGTCTTTGTTTGTTTGTTTGTTTGTTTGTTTCTTTTTTTTTGTGGTATTGTGGATGATTGAGCCTAGCACCTTGAGCTAGGCATATGCTCCACCACTGAACTATGTCTACTACTGAACAATCCTGAGCCCCTAAATTTTATTTCAAGACAGTCTTGCTAAGTTGCTTGGGCTAGCCTTGAACTCTTGATCTTCCTGCCTTGGTCTCGAGTGGGTTGCTGGGATTATTGGCATGTACCAACACACCCAGCTAATATGGTCTTTTATGATTATATAAATTGAAGTGTTTCTAAGTTTGCAGTAATGTGTTTTATTATTTTTTTTCAGTAATAATTTTTAATGCTGTCTCATTTCTATTTTTTTGTAACAGACAAAACCTTCAACTGTAGAAGTTCTAGAAAGTATAGATAAGGTATGTTCTTTGGCTTTGAGGTATTTTAATTCATTTTAGATGTTAAGTATATGTTATTTTGGAGTGCAGATCTAGTATGAAATTTTAGAGATGATGTCGAGTAAGCCTGAAAACTTAAATGTTCTTGCAAGAAAAATCCAAAATCTCTCAGTGACTTATGAAGTCTGTATCAAGTAGTAGAGACTGTTAGAAGGAAATTAAATCTATGGATGGTATAAACCATTGTTATTGGTAAGATGAAATAGGTCTGCAATAATTTTAATCAGTCTGTAAAATTTTTATAGCTTTTTATTTATTTATTTATTTATTTTTATATTTTATTTTTAAGTTCTCGGCGGACACAACATCTTTGTTGGTATGTGGTGCTGAGGATCGAACCCGGGCCGCACGCATGCCAGGCCAGCGCGCTACCGCTTGAGCCACATCCCCAGCCCTATAGCTTTTTATATTTTCTGTCATTACAAAAATAAGTATTCCCTTAGAATATTAGGAGTGATAAATATAAATAATCTAGAATGGGTTCCTCTTTTAATTTTTATCAATTCTTTTTTAATTGCTAGATTATTTTAAGGGCCCACAGATGAAGAGTTAATACTTGTTTGACTTAACAAATATTTAATGATGTCAATTTCATTCTTCTAATCTTTACCAGTTAGGGCTAAAATAGTATTTAATTTTTCATTTTAAAAAGTTATTTGTCAGAATAGACATTATAAATTTTAAACTTCACATGTATTTTTTTATATTCTGTTTTAAAATATTAGGGCATTATAATTCATTGGTTTCTAATAGTTCATTCTAAAAAATTTTAATAATTTTTTTTGAAGTTTGAGATTTAGTAACATGGAATTTTAATTTTCTTTTAACAGGAAATTCAAGCATTGGAAGAATTTAGGGAAAAAAATCAGAGATTACAGAAATTATGGGTTGGAAGATTAATTCTCTATTCTTCAATTCTTTATCTGTTTACATGCTTAATTGTATATTTGTGGTATCTTCCTGATGAATTTACAGCAAGACTTGCCATGACACTCCCATTTTTTGCTTTTCCATTGATGTAAGTAAATTGTTCTTTTTTGTTGACCTTTCTGTTTTATGATGAGATAGTTTTAATATATTTAGTCTTTGTTATGAAATAGTAATATCTCTAAATTTGGATTATTTTGCAATTGGAAAACTATTTCTTTAAAATAGTAGAACAATTGTCTTAAAGCTTTATTTGTAATTCAGTGCATCTGAGGGATATCATCTGTTTTTACTGGTAATAATAGCTCAATGTCAGTGTTTTATCATTTTCTAATAGATAGCCATGATTGATCCCCTAGAGGCATTGGGCATGGAGTCGGGAATAGTGATGAGTAGGAGAGGGTTTGGAAAACCAAAATACCAACAGCCCATATGAATCTGATTATATTCCATTCTTCCTAGCTCTCCTCCTCTCTTTTTAGTCACTTCTTTATGGTAGTTGCCTCTTAAGTATTTTATAATATAGCACTTTACAAGAGGTGTATTGTGATTGAGACTTTGAGAGAAAATTTGATAAAAAGTACATTAAAGAATGTACTTTTTTTGGGGGCTGGGGATGTAGCTCAAGTGGTAGCGCGCTCGCCTGGCATGCGTGCGGCCCGGGTTCGATCCCCAGCACCACATACCAAACAAAGATGTTGTGTCCACCGATAACTTAAAAAAAAAAAATAAAAAGTATTTAAAAAAAAAAAAAGAATGTACTTTTTTGATGTAGTACATTCTTTAATGTACTTTTTATTAAATCAACAAACTTTATGAGTATCAATTGTGTAGACATTGGATTATAATGGTGTTTCGTGTGCAAAATACAATCTTTTGACTAGATTTTAGACTCAGTATATTAAATAAAAAGTTTGACAAATGCTTTGAAAGAGAAATTATGCTATGGGAGCCCCTAGGCCAGTCTGGGTGGTAATAAAGATCAAAGAGTCTTGGTATTAGTTTTCCATTGCTGCCACAAATTGAGTAGCTTAAAACAACACCCATTTATTATATTAGACTTCTGTAGGTTAGAATTCCAGACAGTTTGACTGGGTCTCTGCTTATAGTCAATGTATCAGCTGGCCGGGTCTCATTTGGAGTCTTTGCGGGAAGAATCTGCTTTCAGGCTCAATCAGGTTGTTGGCCAACTGTGCTGCATCTCTCTGAGTTCCTGTTTTTCCCTGAGCTATGAGAAAGCTCTCTGCTTTTAATAATTTAAGTGATTATATTAGACCTACCAGGATAATCTAGGATAATCTCCCTATTTTAAAGTCAACCAAGTAATGACCTTAATTACATTTGCAAAGTCTCTTCACAGCAGTTTCTACATTACTGTGTGACTGTAGGACTAGAGGTTGGAAATTGTTGGTATATGGGGAAGGATATGTGTAGAATTCTGCTATAGACCCTCTGAGGAAGTGACCCCCCCCCACATACTAAAGATTGAACCCAGTTCCTTATGCATGCTTTTCTACCACTGAGTTGCATCCCCAGCTCTAGGAAGTGATGTTTGAGATGAAGATCTGAAGGATGAGTATGTGTATTTAGGGTGATATAACATGATAGGTAGAGTGTTTTAGGCCAAAGAAACAATATTCTTGAAGGCGCTGAAGTTAGCCAGAATATATTAGGTTTAAAGAACTGAAAGAAGACCAAAGACTGGATTGTAGAGAAAAGGCTGGGTAGTTAGGGAAATAGCATTTCATGGGCTTCTTATGGTTCATGATAAGAATTTTAGGTTGTATTCTAAAACTAATGGAAGGCATTATAGCCACTAAGGGTACAATATGGAGAATAAATTAGAGGGGAATAAGAATGGATCTAAAGTGGTTATTATAGTTGATAAGGAAAGAAATAATAGATGATAACTTTACTTGAGTGGTATGGTTGAAGAGAAGCAGATAGATTGAAACAGATGGATTGAAGAGATTTAGGAGGTTGAATTGATATAATATAGAGAGGCTTTTGGTGACTGGTGGGATATGGGATGGATTATATCAAGGATAAAACTCGAGTTTATGGCTTGAGAAATTTGGTTGATGTATGTTACTCATCTAAATAGGAAACAACATGAGAAGGAACATGTTTGGTGATCCACTGAAACTAAAATACTACATATTTTCCATATGGAGTTGACAAGTTTTAAATGAGTATGAAGTTTAGGAGATAAGTTTGAATGGGAGATATAAATTTATTATTTGATAGCTTATAAATGTTAAACAAAACCATCATCTCTTTATTCCTTAAATATTAGATATCGGCAATGTGTAAGGTATTGGACTAGATCCTGATGATGGAGAAAGTAGTAATAAGAATTTTGCTTTTGCTGGGTGGGTGCGGTTTTGCAAGCTTGTAATCCTAGGATCTTGGGAGGCTGAGGCTGGAGGATTGAAATTTTGAGGTCAGCCTCAGCAATTTAGTGAGTAAGACCTTGTCTCCTAAATAAATAAATAAATAAATAAATAAATAAATAAATAAATAAATAAATGACTGGGGATATAGCTCAGTGGTAAGGCACTTATCGGTACCTCTATCCCCGGCTGGAGGATTGAAATTTTGAGGTCAGCCTCAGCAATTTAGTGAGTAAGACCTTGTCTCATAAATAAATAAATAAATAAATAAATAAATAAATACATAAATAACTGACTGGGGATATAGCTCAGTGGTAAGGCACTTATCGGTACCTCTATCCCCAAAAGGATTTTTGCTTTCATGCAGCTTGCATTCTGTTGGGGTGGAAAAGACAAAAATAAAGAAAAACAAAGAAGCAAGCATAGAGAGATAAATGCAATGAAGCAAATAAACAGGGTGATGTGATAAAAATAGGCTACTTTGATGGTCCTGGAAGACCTCTTTTAAGAAAGTGGTATTTGAGTTGAGAACTAAAGCAAAAGAATATCCAAGAAAAAGTTGTAATTCATGAGGATTATTTATATATTATTCATCATATAATGACACATACAACCATAGATACGGAAAAGGCTTATCTCCAAAATATTAGTAGCAATACTCTCTAGCTGGTAGAATTTTAAGTAGTTATTTCTTTCTCTATAATTTTTGGTAGTGTTTGAATTTTTATATCATTGTGTTCCTCATTTCCTAAAAACATAAGTCTAGGAGATCAGGGAAAATGTTTTCAACAGAGAATGGAAAATGCAAAGGTTGTGAATCTGAAGCAAATATGACTTATTTGAGGGACAAAAAGATAGGCATATTTAGAATGTATAATGGAAAGGAAAAATAGTTTGAACTGAGCTTGTTTAAATCAGGCAGGATCCAGATTATAGAAGGTTAAGGTTAGGAGTTTGAATTTCATTTTAGCTGAAGCATGAAGCTTGTATAGTGGAAGAATAGCATGATGAAATTTCAGTAAAGAGAATCATACGTACTGCCATGTGGAGATTGGGTAAGGGGAGGACAAGAGTAGAAATACCTATGAAGCTATTATAGAAGTTTAGAGATGACAGAATATTAGACTGCCATAATATTGGAAGTCAGCAGATCATCTGAAAATATTTTGGAGGTAAAACTAATAGAATTTTTTTCTTTTTTTGGGAGGTACCAGGATTTAACCCAGGGGTGTTTTCTATTGAGTTGCACCTCCAGCCTATTGAGGTTTACTGATTGAGATACGGTTGCTAAATTGCTGAAACTGGCCTTGAACTTATGATCCTCCTTCCTCAGCCTCCTAAATCACTGGGATTACAGTGTGCCACCACACTTAGGAAAATTGATAGAATTTGATGGGAGTAAATGGGAGGTAAAGGAAAAAGAGATACTCATGTATTTGGTTTGAGATTTAATGAAGGTAGGAGCTTTTCTTTGGGATGACTATAGTGAAAAAAATTCATCTTGAGTGCTTGGCATATTTTAAAATTGGAGCTCCTGCTCTTCATACAAAGTTGAAAATAGATTTGTCTGTTCAAATAGGAGAGCTAAAAGTGAGTGCATGCATAATATTGCAGAATAATTGTCTCTACTAGTTTATTTTCCCTTCTTTTCTTTTGTTTAGATGCTGGCCTCGTACATTTTAGGCAAGTTCTCTATCATTGAACTACACCACCAGCCCCTCTGCTATTTATTTTTAGAAATCTTTTTTAATCCCAGGCATACTAGTGCATTTTACAATGCTGAACCCCTTTTCTTTGTTTCCTTTCTATTTTTTTTTTCATAAAAAGAGATTAAAAATAAATTTAAAAAGGGAGTAAGTGTGAAATGTTTAGTTGACTTAAACATTTTTAAATATTTTGAAAAAATTTTAGTTGACATCCATTTCCATATAGAAATTGATTTTCTATTTCTAAAGGATTTGTATCAGTTGCAGAAGAATATCTGCTAGGAACTCTGTTCTGCTAGTTCTAATAACTGTCTTCAAGTTGTGATCCATTGGATCTGGTATTGAATTTTTTTTTTTTTTGTTAAGAATTTTTTTTTTTTTGGCAAATAAATCACATACTAATTTATTTATTTATTTTTGAATGGTGCTGGGATTTAACTCATGGTGTCATGCATATTAAGCACTACTGAGCTACATCCTTAAACCTAATTGTTTTTTAAAAGCAGAAAAATTTTATTTCTTTAAAAACATAACTTTTTAAGTTTGCTCTATTTTGAGTGTGAAGCTTTTTAAAAATTTTACTTTCTTCCTTTGACTTGTGAGTCACCTGCATTTACAATTTCTTGACTTGTTAAGCTTCAGGGCCATTTCTTACTTTGTCTTATTCACATTTGTGACCTTGTTTTCAACTGTTGCAGCTTCGATTTCAGTAGGCTCTTGACTTTTGGAAGCACAGAGTAGTTATCGAACAAAGAATAGACTTGTCCTCCTGACTGATGATAATCAAGAAAGCAAGAAAATAGAATATAATAACGTGAAAGTGGATGTTGTAATAAATAGACTTACTACAAGACTTTCTGTTGTGTATTATATAAGTTATTTACCAATCTTATCCCTGGATTTTTTTTTTCCTTTGGAAGTAGTTTTGAGAGCTGGACTAGAATTTACTTAAAGTATTGGAGGCAGAAGAAGCAATGAAATGGATTGCTTTA